TATAATGATAAATAAAGAATACACGTGAAAAACAAGAAATATAGTACTTACTTGGTTTTTTTTTTTTTGTTGACTGTCGATGAAACTTGTTGATGCATTTCCTGTGGGAATAAAGTTTGTAGTGGAAGCAAAATAGATAATTCTCTGCACAGAAAATAATGTAATATAATACAACATTTTATAGATTAAACCATTAGTTTTCTATTAGTTAGAAATAATATAGTATTAAACTTCAGAGATAAATTGGCAATTTACGAAAGAGAGGATGTGACAGGTGGATATTGCAAGAGGTGTCTAATTTTCTAGCTTGTGGCTCTGTAACCAAATAAGATTGAAGGCTATAAAATGTATGCTTTTCCTGAATGATGACAACATTATAATGAGTAATTTATATTAAATTTAGTTCTTCTTGGAGGGGTGGTAAATAAATTAGAGAAGAGGGGATGCCAAAAGAGCAAATGTCACAATTCTCATACTGGGAGAATTTGTTTTTTATATGCTTATATAATTAAGAACCTAAAACTTTTATAATATTAAAATTTGGATTATTAGCTACAGTTTGATGCCAAGTTTATTCATGTACCATGATAATAAGTAGTTTAATTAAAGTGTAACTTAGTAAAACTGTGTGATATGATCAGAAAATGATGCTCGTATAGAAAAAAGTTAACAATAACCCTGCAGCATAATTCCAATTAGAAAATGCTCTGTCATCTGGCAGTCATGCACAAAGCATACCATCTGTCCATGCATGCTTTCAGTAACTTGTATTGTTTATCAGAATGACTGTTTCCTAATGCTCACAACAACAGTTTGATCACACAGAAACTTACAAGCATTGTGACTTTAACAGAAAGTATTTGTATGTAATATCATGAATACCTGTTTCATTCTCTAGCTACTTAGGGTGTGCGATGGTTGAATTGATGTGTCAAAAAAAACACATTGTTTACACATGACTTGTGTCACCTTTCTAGGAGGAGATTGTACTTGATGTGTTGCATACTGTTGCCAAGGGTATGTGAATAGCTTTTGCCACTGACGTTTTGTGTTCTTGAATTCTCATCTGTTACAAGGCACTGTACTTTGCTTACCACAGCTGTGCTATGACTTTTTGCAGGTTGACCATGGTGCCCAAAATTGAACCATAGTCTTTTGTTTTCAAATGCCATTATGTACAATGGATATCTGTCTTTTGGAAATTCTAAGTCACTGATCTAAACACGTAGGGTATGATTTTTTGTGTCAGAAAGGCCTGTTACATACCCTTTCTAAAAGCATTCAATTTTCCATGGTATCACACTACCTAAACACCGCCACAACTGTACATCAGCTGTGGCTGTTACTAATTAGCACATTAAAAATGATTTTATTATAACTGCTCAACCCTCTGTATACGAGATCTGAAAACTTTATGTGCAATATCTTGTTTTTTGCTAAAGTGTCGGATAGTCAAGAGAGTTAGCATTTTAACAAAGAAAAAATACAGATAATTTTTCTGATACTTATCAATATCACATGTGATAATTAGGTACAATTTATTTCAAGTAATTAAGAATTTCTGATCAAAAGTAAGCTAACTATATAGCTATTAAGGAGGAAGTTATAAGTCTATGAAACTAATTCTACTATAAGAATATAAACTAAATTTAAAATGTGTTGTTATTCAGAGAATAAAACTATTGATTTATAACAGTAAAGTTTGATGATAAAGTAACCAACAAAAATTTTTGTGTCCGAATTATGTTCGCTTAGTAACAAATTCAAACAGATCTTTAGTCTTGTTTTATGTTTAAATGTTTGGGATTATACAGCATTCAAAATTAATGCTGGTTCCTCAGTTAGTCTTAAACAGGTAATGGTCTGTTAAAGTATTATGTTTATACGTAAGTATCAGTTGTAATGGTGGTTAGGCCTAACCTGGTGGTTCAGTATGCAAGTCTAGTTAACTAGAGAGATTATCTGTGAACTGACCAAACAGAAACTTAATTTCATACATAGATGTTAATAATAATGATGAAACATAAAATATGAACATGCCTTCTTTTAGGTTTGGGATTATAACCATTACCAATTGTATAGTTAGATCAGGAAATTATATTTATGAAGGTTGAGATTTATATTAAATCTGTTGTGTAAGTGCTGAAAGGATTGTACAACAAACTAGTATATGAAAAACAAGACCAGAAACTTAATTCACTCACAGGGAACACAGCCAAGTAAGAGCATTGGAAAGTGAGGGTTCAGAAGCGTTATTGTTTTTGTATGAAAAGGCATTCTAGAACAAAGGTGGTATTTATACATTTTTTTGATAATATTTTCAGTCACCTAAAGAAAAAACTGTTACCAGGACATCTCAAATGGCTGCTAACTTCAGTGGTGTTAAAATTAATAGAATCATTAGTCTGATATCCATGCCGTAAGCAGTATTTTCAGCTAATAATCCCAATGGTAAATCAGAAGATTCGGCCTGCTACGAGACTTAAGCTGTCCATATGCTAAATGAACAATGAAAAACAGTTTAAATAAGTGTAAAAAGTAGTGTCAAAAATAGTTTAAAAATAGTATTAATAAAGTTAAAGAAGGTGGGTAGATGTTTTATTTGGTTGTAATTATTATCAGGAAAAGATATCATGATAATTTAAATAGTTTTAACTTTAGGTTAACTCTTGATTTTGTATCCCTCGGTAGGTCAGTGGTAAGTTTATGGACTTACAGCACTATAATTCAGGGTTTGATTTCCTGCAGCAAACAGAGCATGCATAACCCATTGTGTAGCTATTTGCTAAACAAAAATAATTACTTTCAACTTTATAATTGTTTTTAGTAGAAGAGGTTAAAAAAAAAGTTTACCAAAGTTTCATACTTGAAAACATTTGATTTACTCTTGAGTTCGCAAAAAAATAAATTAGCTATTTCAAATTTATTATAGTTTTCACAGATTGTTTTATGATTTAGCTGACCAATAGAACTGGAAGATTAATGGAATTTGTTAATTAAATTAATTGTTAGGTTCATTACTTGATTACTCACAACTGATTGTTTCTTCTTGAGACCTGGATATTTTGAATAATTCAAATTATTAGTAACGTTTGGTTATTTTTGTGAGTTGTGACATTAATTGATTAAGCTGAACAACTTTAAATTCATCAAAAGTAATAATGAAGAAACATAATGACAATAGTTCGATTACTTTGATAGTTGCAATCAAAAACAGTAGTTATTGAAAACACTAATTTTGATTAGTCGATTATTTTATGTGGCACTAATTGATTTAATATTTGCTCATAGGTAATCAGTTTAGTTGGCTAGTTATACTAACCATCTTATTTTTTGAAAGGACATTAAATTTGGAAGAGAATTCTGGCTGTTTGTTATATAGAAAGGTTGGAAGATTGTACTTAAATTGCTCTCTCCTGCAAAATCATTTATTTTTGCTATCAAGGTTGTTGCACCTTTTAGTTTATAGAAGTTTCCTGGTTATAGGTTCAAGAAGGATTACGAAGCAAGTTTAGAGTTGGAATGAAACTGGAGGTTGTGGATAAAAATCGTATTTCGTCTATTCGAGTGGCCAGAGTTCAGGAGGTTGTGGGTGGACGACTGCATGTTGCATATGAAGATGCAGAAAAGGGGGATGAAGGGTTTTGGTGTCATGAACGTTCTCCCCTTATCCACCCGATTGGTTGGGCCCAAGTAGTAGGTCATGACTTGAGAGCTAGCCTAGGTGAGTATAGGTTCTTAAACATAAATTCTGAGCTTATATGAATTTTCATGTCTATTCTCTTTGAACAGGCAAAAAATGAGTATTATAGAAAGTAAACATCTTAAAATTGGAGAAACAAATGTCCTTGTGATATTGAAGTCATTTAAAAATAAATGACCTGTTTTTTGGTTTTTTTGGAATGATTTGTTTTTCTTTATGCAAATATTCAGCTATTTTTTGTTTGGGTTTTGGAAAGTTAACTATTTTACAATATCATGACTTTTTTTATTAAATACAACTAATTTGAATATTCACTTATGAGAAGAAATAAAAATGCCATCAGAAAATATACTTGAAGTAGATTTTAAAAGTTATAGTCACTTAGAGAACGTGACGGATGCATCATTGCTGTTCATTATATATAATTCATTTAAAGTTTCAAATAGCTTGCATATGAACTTTTTGTAATCTTGCAAGATGTTTTAGTTTTTGAACTTTTTCTTTTTATGAATGTGTTTCTGATAGCATAAGAAATACATTAGTTGAAACATAAAAATAAGAATCCTAGAATATTCTGGCCTTTAGACTGATGCTGAAGAAATTTTATAATCCAAAACATACTTGTCACCTCCGCTGACACTAATGGCTGTTTCTCTATCTTCATCCTTGCCATCTAATGTTGTGTTCGCCTGCTCCAATCTTTATATACCCCTCTTGACTGCCCTTGGCAGTATCTTGGAGCAAGCGAACACAATGGCAAAATGAAGTTCAAGAAATAGCTATTATTGTCAGAAGAGGTAAGTATGTTTGGAAGTAGATTTTCAGTTTAGGAAAATGGTAACATCCCTTGAAAGTCTCATTTGCTCAACTTGTATTCAATGCTTGATGGTAAAGTATAGAGTATTAGACAAAGTTGTTTTGTATGTAAAGACCTGGACAGCAGTTCAACAATTGAGGCATCATTCTCAAGATATAGGTAACTCAATCAAATGTTTCATAGATGGTTGGTTTTTTTTGGGGGAGATCATCTGTTGCAGTATCATTCTCCTTCGTGAGAGAATGGTTTAAGGTTCTACTAACAACTACAAAATTCCAAAAAATCACAAACACTTTTACTTCTGAATTTCAGATGCATAAGACATAATTTTTTTTCATATCAACTTTAAATGGAGTAGTATAAAATAATTTTACTTGTGTTACAGGAAATTATTTTCAAAAAAATCTGTGGTTTTTACCCTAAACATCATAATTTTAATAGAAAAACATTTTAGTGTCATTGGGCATGTGATTTAAAAAACAAAGTATAAGGCAATTTTTATTAATATTTCTGTAATTTATAAGACTTAAAGCTTCAAAACTATTTTGTAAGCATTCAATTTAGTAACAATTAATATGCTAATCATGATACTTAGATATGATATGCGAAGCATTTTTTAAGGAGCCTGTCAGAGATGAAAGTCTTCCGGATATATCCGGAA